TCAAATACACTTAAAATACAATGTGTAGAACTACATCAAAAAGAGACATTTTTTAAGTCAAAGAAACGATAATTTTTTTGAAGAAAGCCTTTAAACATTTAAAGGTAAACTGCCATTCTATTGACGGCCGTTAAAATATATTGATTTGAAAATCTAATTGCAAATAACATAAAATTCTTTGCTTTTAATCTTACCAGGTTTATTTGACATATTTAAAGAAAAGAGCAGGCATTTGCCTCGTTTACTGGCGTTTAGGATTCTTACACTTTATAAAAATCAGCAAGCAATCAATAATGTGGACATTGTTACAATAAAGCCAACATTATGGCCCATTCCTGCCCGCAAGGAAATGTCTTGCTTATGGCCAGGAACAGCTTTTGTCTAGCTCTTTGGTGCAATGAAATGGTTTTTCATTTACATCTAAAAAGGTGGACCATTCAGTCGTTCAGTTTAGTGAGGGGGGGAAAAGGAAGAAAAAAGTAGGAGCCAACCAAAGACAACATTTCATATCAAAGTGGCTGCACAGTCGTCGTCAACAATGTCTGAGGCGGCTTCTTTCAAGGCTTCTACAAACGCAGCACGGCTGAGCAGCCCAGCGGCGCACAAGAAGAAGAAGAACAACAACAACAAGTTGATGACATTTTTTGTTGTTTTTTAAGCCAAGACAAGACAAGCCGGGCCGGGCCCGGCCCAGCCAGGCGGCTGCTGCTGCGCGTAGAACATTTTAAGAGCGAATAGCCAACAAATCAGCGCGACGCAAAACGTTGCGGTTACAAGCAATTCAAGCCATAAACTATGCAGTGCCGAGTGACCACCACAGTGGCATCAATAGCCACAGCAACAACCACAGGCACCACCATCATCCTCATAATCTACAGCATTGTCGGCAATTCGCTTGAAAAGGCGGCAAGAGCATAAAGCAAAGTTTTTATGAGACGCCTGCGAGTGGAAATGTTCGTCCAAGGCGGGGGGTAATGGCGACGGCAACGCGTTTTTGATGATAATGAAGACTTTGCGACAATGTTCTCACTTTTAAGCCAAATGGCTGCCGCACGGATAACATGGCTACCATGGCAAGTCAATTAGGCGTCGTGGTCTAATGAGCCCCGAGAGCGCACAGAGCTTCTTTGAGCTTCTAATTATGGGGAAGAGGGCGGCAAGTTGGAAAGTGTTTTTGGCATAAAATGCGAAATATTGGCAGACAGTAAACGCCCACTTTCATTTTCAGGCAGGCATTATTAATTGCGTCCGAAAGTGGACAACAATTTTGCGACAACTGTCGCAGAAAGTAAAATGCGGCAAAGGAACAACGAACGAACCAACCAACCTGTCGTTGTCAATAAACCGGATCAATGGAGCAACTTTCTTCACTTCTGACACACTAAACTGACGCAACGTGTGCAACAAGTGCTGCACTCAGATCGCCCACGAGCCACAGACCCCAGACCCCCAGATCCCCAGACCGGCAGACCCCAGACTCTAGACTCCAGATCAGGCTCAGATCATGCTTCCTGTAGCGACAGCGTCGAGAGGCAAACCAAGTCAAGTTGCTTTTTGTGGGCATAAATGAAAATTAAGCTTATTTATTGCACATGCGAAAGGTGCAACACTGTTCACCTTGTTTACACTGTGCTACAAAGGTTCTGGTACCACAACAGCAGGTCCACAAGGACACATGTGCAGCTTCTTTAGAAACTATAACTTGAACATTTTAAAATGAATCTGCATCTGATGATGTTAGTCTGATAACGGACATATTTTTTTTTAAATCTTTTTTCTATATTTAAGATCTGTCCTAAGCAGGACAATTTTTAAATTATATGATAACGAACATATAAGTTAATTATTTGTAAATGATATTCGAATTTGGGGATGCAACTAAAGAAACTATTATCTGGAAACAAAGGCTATGCTACAAAATACTAATATTATTTAGAAAGTGCTAATATGAGTAATTTAAATAATAACCGTATTATTTGGAGCAGTTGGCCAAAAACTGAAATTCAATATTATTATTTTGAGCGACCAAATTAATGAAGTTTTTGAAAAAAAATTATTTCAATTGTCATATGACCAGAATTTGTTATTATTTCTTTATGATTATTTGTATATAGTATAGTATATATACTTAAAATTAAAAATTTTTTTAAGTTCATTAAAACATCATTTCATACATTTTTTTTATCGAACTATATTTTGGAAATAGTTTTACAATTATTTTGAACACAGCTGTAAGTAACTTATTTGCAAATGATTTTTGAATTTGGGGATGTAAGTAAAGAAACAATTATCTGGAAACAAATAAATTACATCTAACTGAGATTTTATTATAATTAATATTTAATCAGATTCATTGATGCGAACTACAAGAATATAACAAAATTAAAACAGATTACTTTTACTTTACTTGAAATTAAAGAATCAATATTAATGATTACAATTGTGATAAATAAATGTTAATCTTTTGATTTTAAATATTATCTATGAGTCACCATCGATAATTACGTTACATTATAATGGAAATAAACAAATTTAAAATCTATCTTTTGACTCATTTTAAATGCTTATATCGAACCATTTAGTTGTAATAATGATTTGTGTATGAATCTTTTGGTTGCAAATTAAAGTAATTATTATTTATGCCGACTCCATTTTAAAAGCTTAGTTAAGTTGTAATGTAATAAAAAGTTGTCTATGATTCTTTATTTGATAAATGTTTTCATTTCATTTCGTAATGTTTATTTCATAAATTAAAAAAAATGTTTGAATAACGAACTTTTTATACAAAAAGATGATAATAACTGAAAATGGAATCATTTTAAATATTTCATTTTAATAATTTCATTTTACAAAATTAAGATAATAATTGAAAATGGAATCATTTTAAATTTTCATTTTAATAATTTCATTTCGTAATGTTTATTTCATAAATTTAAAAAAAATGTTTTAAGAGTGAACTTTTTATACAAAAAGATGATAATAATTGAAAATGGAATCATGTAAAATATTTCATTTCATAATGTTTATTTCATAAATTTAAAAAAAGTGTTTTAAGAATGAACTTTTTATACAAAAAGATGATAATTGAAAATGGAATAATTTTAAATAGTCAGTGATTAAAACTCCATCAGGAAAACTATTGAAGCTTTTGTAATTAAATAATACAATAGTAGAAGTATATTCATATTTATTTTTATTTATTTATTAAATATTCCTATGCGATGTGATAATCGACATATGAACACTAAGAACAAGCTATAGCTCCGTGGCCTTAAGCTAATATTCATATTTTTAAAGGGAATCATTTTCAATAATGATTATGATTATAAATATTACGGAATTTCAAATATGAAAGGATGTTCGAAATATAGTTGTTCTCCATTTTCTGTATCATTCCATTGATTTGCTGATCAGTGCCTTGGGTGGCAGACTCCTGCTCTTTCAGCTGGGAAACGATTTATGGTCAGCTTGTCTCATTCACACGCCGCACCGCGCAGCGCCGCGCCGCGCCGGGGCTGCGGTTTGTGGACTTTCAAGGAGTGCTGCGGCAGTCTGGGTGCCTGAAACCAGAACCAGTTTAATGGCACATGAAATTTCACCGAAAAACGAAGAAAAAAGAGCATAAACTGCGAATGAGTCTAACTAACTAGCGACGGGCTTGCCACAGCGTGGCAAGTTGATTTGCTTAAAAGAAATTCACTTTCCTTCGGCTGTTGGTTGGCTGGCTGCTTGGTTGGTTGGTTGGTTGGTTGGTTGGTTCGGCGCAGTTTTTACTTTTTCAGATGTTTTTCCTTCTTTCTTTTTTGTTTGCTGGTCGCAAAGGCAAAGAAGGTCACGTTGTAGATCATGAGGATTCGACAAGACAAGACAGCGCGTGGCCTTTTTGCGTTTTTTGTTGGCTTATTCGGTTTTTCCTTTTCTTGTGGTCTGGTCAAAATCGCCCGCTAACAGCAAACACAATTGAATGCAAGAAAAATACTTTTAATGAAAGTTGGCACTTCTTTTTGTACAGTTTTATTTTGAACAGTTTGTTTTTGCCAGGCTTTAAAGTTTGATTTGTGGCAGGCGACATGGAAAATGACAAGGAAAATGCCTGGCTGGCAATGCGAGAGAGATGGCTAAAGGAGTTGGCGGAGTTGCAGCCACCAACTACATAAATAGTGGTTGTGTGGTTGTTGTTGTTGTTGTTATTGTTGCTGATGTGGCAAAAATTAATTGGATAGATGATAGCCTGCAACTGAAAAGCTTCAATTGGGCAGGTAATCAATGCTCAGAGTGAGAGTGAAAAGAGGATGAAATCGGCCATCCATGATAACATATCTAATAGATGAAGGCCCTTAACTATTCCGACCTGTGCGTAACTCGCCTTTTTGCAGAAACTCCTTTTAACCTTCTTAGTCTAAAGAGCTTTATTAAATATGATCGAGTTTTTTTTAGAAAAAACTAGCACTCTATGCGGTGGCTGGCCAACCAAGCAAAAAAAGTTCTAAATATCTACGAACATAAACCAGTAATTAAAGGAAAAAATGTTATACTGCTTACATTTAATGATCGACCTCTCGCCACTCCTTCTAAGATGACTCTTTCAAGTTATAAGGCTAGAAGACTACTTAAAGAGTCTGCAGGTTCATTATCATTTATGCTGACTTATTTAAAAGATTTCCTATAAAGATAACTATAACTTTTAACACACATTTTCATCTAAGTAAATTGTATTTCTTTTTCTAAAAAGTAAACTAAACCTTGGTCCACACAATTATATCTCTCGCTTCTACAACTTCATAAATCTTCACTAGGCTTCGTTTTGCTTCTATTGCATTCCTTTAAAATATTTCGACTGTGCTTATTGTGGATTTTGTTTGTATATCTAGTTTTTCGACAATTCTTCATAGCTATGTTGGTGCGGTCGTAATGTCAGAGATCTTATCCATTAACATATTCATCGTCTTCAATCCCAATCAAAAGGGAAGGGGCCAGCATTCTTCAAGCTAAACAACGTATGATTTCCATAAAATAATTTATTGAACAAAAGACTGGCGCACGCTGTTGCTGAAAGTACGTTATAAATTGTTGTTCATGTGGAGTCTTACATATGATTTGTGTAATTACTAGTGTTAATTATGTGTGTGATTCGTACTCTGGACACCAGTAAAATATCTTAAATATTAGGAGTTACCGTTAAAAAGTGTAAAGCGTGTAGATGTGTAATTCGTGTAGACATGACAAGATATTTATGTGAATTATACATAAACTCTTGCCAAGCTTTAACGTATTATATGGTCTATTTTTCCTTGTTGTCAACCTCCTCTTCGTTATCTTTTTCTTCCTCGCCGTACGGTAAGTTATTATGTAGGGCCGACCAACGTGGCACCTGGAAGAGGGCCCAGAACGGTATTATCATCATGATGATCAGAGATCCCCAGCCCATAATAAAACGCTGACCCGTAGACATGGGCCAACGTGGTGGACCAGCTATGGGCCAATGATGGCGCACTTGAATCTTCAACGGACCACCCCCAACATTTTGGCGGTTTTCCGCGCCGACGCATACCCGCTTTATGGGCAACAGCAGCAATTTTCGCATCAATGCAAAACTCATCTTGAAAAACTAGAAAACGCTGGAAAAAATCATCTTTGTTACTAAATCAGGCGAGAGAAAAAAATTAATAAAATACTTACTGGAGGAGCTCTTAACAGCAGTGTAGATGAAAAAAGAATGATATTTTCACAATATCGACAGACTCACTTTGTAAAAGAGAAGGCAACGCCTACTGGGAAGGTATTTCAATTGGCATTGTCAGCAGGAAATAATTACAAAGTTCAAATATACAATAAACAGAGGTTAAAACAACACTAAAACGGCAAATGAAATTGTTTCAACTTGTCTGTAGCTTTCTTTATTTTCAAATTCATTTTGCAAAAACGGAGATAAAAAACGATGAGAAATTTGTATTTGGCATTGCGTGTGTTAACAATTGACTTCAATGGATGCTGCGAAAGAGTTTCCAACAGACGACACGAACACATTGCGTCACAACATTAGTTGCGGTTTTGATTTTGATTTTGATTGTGCAATTGCGCTTAATGAGCTCCAAAGGAGGATAGTACACGCAGCATTTATAATAATAATTTGCATTATATGCAAAAAAAAAACGAAATAAATTTATTCAAATTCAAAACGAAAAAATTCATACTGACTTTTAATTTAGCGCACAAAAATATGCTACACAACTGACAGCAACGATATTTTACAGCACTGGTAGCGCGACGTATCGATAGTAGCAGCGCATCATCGATAAGCAGACAGCTGTCATCAGAACAGACACAACAGCCGGTCTCGCAAGCAACCGCAAATACAAAATGCAGGCGCAACAATTAGACGCGAATCAGGCGCGCATTCAACAGCTGGAGGAGTTCATAAACGAGGTGCTGAAGGAGGAACTGAAACAGCTCGAGCAATGCCTCAACAAGTACAATGAGGAAATCATGGAGTACGTGCAGCTGAAGAACACACTTCAGGCACTCGGCGACCACTTTCCGGATGGCTACAAGACGCAAGTGAATATTGGCAGCAACATCTTCATGGAGGCACACGTCTCCGAAGCGGACAAGGTATTGGTAAATATAGGCAGTAATATATTTCTGGAAATGAGTGCAGTGGAGGCAGAGAAACTCTGTGATATGCGCATCAAAGTCCTGACCAAGCAAGCAGATGTGCTGCGAGAGGAGAGCGTTAAAAAGCGCGCCCAAGTCAAAATGGCATTGATTGCCATCAGCGAACGCCAAAATCTAGTGCAAGCCGCCGATCAGGAAACTAAGTAGATGTACTATGCTCTACCTTAAATTATTGTTAATTTGTTAAATGAAAGAAATGTACCTACTGTTTTATATAGATATGCTAGATATATTTAAACATAAGTATTTTTACACCGGCAATGAATTCTTATTGGCTTTTTTTTTAAGACAATGAATTATGTACACACGACTAAGTCTTGCACATTGGCCGCCTGGAGAGTATCTCCGAGTGCCCGCGTCAAATGTGAAAAAGTACATGTACGTATTGGAACATTTTGTTAAAATTGTGTCTAAATTTATTTCACATATAGTTGAAATATTTTCATCGCAATGAACTCTTTTAATTGTGACAAGAGTTAGAATTTATGATCAATTCTCTTAGGTGCTATGCTTAATAATCCCATCGCCCCCTGAAATTAGGTGCTTAAGCATTTCCAAGCATTCGATCGAATGTTATAGCTTTTTAAAAGTATATAAGTATGATATCGCATATTTCAACGGTTAACTTCGATTTAAAATTAAACACTGGGTTAGCTGTTATCGAATAGTTTTTGTTTTTTAATGAAGAGTCTATTCAAATTATTGGCATTACATTTGTTATGTTTATATTGCGAATAAATGATGACAGTTGCTTTAAAATCAGATGCCAAACAAACTTAACCGCCACAGAGCAATAGGTATTAAAGCGGTTGACTTTTTTTTAGCATTTCGGTGGACAACAATTTTTGAAAATGATTAAAAACGTAGAATGCAAAATCTGCCTTTTAAGCAGTCTCAATTCTTCACTTCGTTTTATTCTTAAAATAAAACAATCTTTTTTATATTGTCTCAACCGAATTTCATTATAAAAAAAAAAAAAACTTTTCAGTTATCTTCAAGAGAGTCTCCGACGAGCCATGAATTAGCTTGTAGCCTAATTTGTCGAGCTGGATAATAAATCTTTTCTTACCGGGTCAGAGATGTGTTTTTTAAATTTATTGTATATTTTCATATTTACGTTTTACAACTGCCCTCTTATTAATTTATTTTACTTGATTTAATTTATCATTTTTCAATAAAATTGTAAGTTATGATTTAAGTATTTTTAATCTTCATTTACCTGTGATTCGCAGCATAGCGAATAATATTCTTTCAATTAACGACCATTCTACTCAGCTTCTGAAGAACTATCTACAGGCATAGTTCTGCTTGTGGATTTTCTTTAAGAACTGAAGTTTTTCAAATAATAAGCTCTTAAGTACAAGCACATACATAAATTTTATTTCTTTACTATAATTTACAAATGTAATTTACATTATCTTCATTTAGTATTTTGACCGAACAAATGGATGTGTGTAAAAGTGTTTTGTGTGACTGAAACTGTGATCTGAAAACCAAATTTATAGTGTGAAAGAGACGCGTTAGAATACGATGAACGGATGCGGAATAACAAAGATGACGTTTGTTGATACGAATTTTCGATTGGAACACATTTTTTGTAAATCCTTGTCTTTGACAACGTTGTGGTTGTTGCGAGCATATACGTTGTATATTGGTCGAGCAGTTGTCTATCGCTGCTGATCTGTTTCGACGGACTGGTTGACTCCCGATTGAGGGGCCTGAGAAGTCGTGGCGCGTCTTGCTGCCATTTTAGACTGCTGTTGTAGCTGCTCGGGTATGTACTCGAAGAAGGTGCTGCTTAGAGATCTGCAATGTTCGGATAGCCGCTGCGAGGTGGTATAGAGATGTTGCAAGCGTTTGGCCATCTGCAGAGAATGGATTAGAGTTTGAAGAACTGTTGGTGTTGATCAGACTCACCTCATCAGTTACGTTGAGAGTGGCGGTTTTTTCGGCTCCCCCAGAGAGTCCCGGGGTCGGCGCCATTCGACTATTCACACAATCTCTCACCCGATCCATCTCGACCTCGAGCACGCAATAGTCCTGATGCATGCGACGATATTCCTCACACAAACGCTGGTTGTCCTCCAGCAGGATGCAAATGTGTTCCTCGGCGCGTTTCACGCACTGGCGCATCGCCTCATCGGAACGAACCTGTGCGTCCTTCCATTTCCGGAAGGATTCGATAATCTGCTGCTGCTGGTTCGTCACTTCTGTCTGCTGCCTGTTCAAGTTCAAGTTCGAAACTGTGTTAGGAGACGCACACACACACATGATGATGTTTGTTTTTGTTGTTCTAGTTCTTGTCCGAGTCGGACAATTGTGCATAGGTTATTACGGCTCAACAGCCTGGCCATACGTACTTCAACTTCAACTGCATCTGCTTGCAATCGAGCACCAGATCGTGCAATTGCTGCCTGATCGCTTCATTGGCGTGGTTCAGATCGCACACAGTCTGGCGATGCTGCATTGACTGATGGTGCAGCTGGCACTGCATATCTCGCACCAGTTTCCTGGACTTGTCCAGCTCCAGTCTCTCGTGCTTCAGCTGATCACACAAGGCGCGCTCTTGTCCCATCATCCCCGCCTCCTTGCTCTTCAGCGCAACGACCTCCTCACGCAACAGATTGCGCTGGAAAATGCAATGTTTGGATGGGAACATGAGATAATATTCATGCATAGCTTCATAACCAACCTCGGCGACGAGCTCCTCCTGCATTTTCTCCACCTGCCCCAGACGCTCCTGTAATGCCTGCGCACATCGATTGGCACTCTTCAACTCACGGCATTGATCCTCGAAACTTTTCGATAGCTTCTCATACTTGTTGTTCAGCTCTAGGCGTTGGTCCTCCTGGTTCTTGAGCAGTGCGGCCACCTCACGCAGTTTGTGCGATTGATTACCTATGGGAAAAAGGGGGAAACACCATTTTTAAGCATCATCAATCATTAATTTGGTATGGATATATGGGGCGTGCAAAACTTCCCCAAAGGTTACCCAAATATTAGTCACAGTTGCTGGCTTTACAACTCGAGAGGGACATGCTGGGAAATACGAGTGTACTCTATCTTTAAGATTTCGTGTTGGAAATGTTTATTTAATGTAAAAAGACCTAGAAGACTCAATGTATAAGTTTATTTCCTAAATATATACAAGTAGTTTCAATGCTGGTTCTCTCATCCTTAATTGCTTTTTATTCTATTCATTGCTTATAATCTCCAAAATTCGAAAATGTCAATAGAAATATTTGAGATGATGGCAGAAAACAATTCTATTTTCATAAAACATATTTTCTTTTTAAAATTTCAACACAATATTATCGGGGATAAGCGACTATAGCTGCCATAAAATCGAACTATCAAGACAACAAGCAAACTCTTAAGGTTTGTAAAATTAATGGAAGGTCTTAAATAAATCGTAGACAGGGTTATGATGTGCCTATTAGTCATATTTACATTTTGTTTAAGACTAAGTAATATGGCAACTAGGATAGAGGATATAAAAGATTAAAGCATGCCAGACTTTAACTTCCTTTTCACAATATCTTATGTTCTCTCTTTTTGGTTTTGATTAAAAATAAAAAAAAATAATCATATTTTTTGTAAGAGCGAAACAAACTTAATGTTTGTTTAATATACAATATATATGTATTATTGTAGGAACGGTTCTTTTGGAATAAACTAATTTGGACAGCTCTTTGGCGTCATTACATATAAAAATCGCGGAGACAAGTTCTTTCTAATAAATAAAGAAAACTTCTTTTTAAATGTAAGCCATTATTTAATTTCGCTCCAATTTTGGGATGAATTTTAAATCGGTTATATCATACGTAAGTATGGTAAAAATTAATTAGAAGGAACCACCAATGGCTCAGAAAGAATTGATCGCAAAGATGGTAAAAAAAAGGCTAAATTTTATAACATTGTGTTAAGAAGAAAAGAATTGTAGAAACAATTTCACAAAACACTATCGACGCAGTCTTAAGTAATACTATTTTTTTAACCGAGCTTAAAAATTTGCATTCTTTCATTTTTTTTTTTTAATTTAAAATTAAAATATTCGCGTTGACCAGTTTTGCTAATAAATAAAGAAAATACTCTTTTAAATGTAAGTCATTATTTAATTTGGCTCTATGTTTGGAATGCATTTTAAATTGGTTATATCAAACGTAATTATGGTAAAAATGTATCATAGGGACCACCAATGGCTCAAAAAAAATTGATCGCATAGATGGTAAAAAAAAGCAAAATTTTATAGCATTGATTGGTGATATTTGATTATCGTTTGTTGATTTGCCTCTGCCGACCGCTTGTGATGACTGTTTTAATAAAATATTCTTCAAAAAATTCTTACTATAAATTGTGAAAATCGAAAAATCTAAATCAAGTAATCATAATATTTTTCCGATTTTTGTTTTGTGATTTCGATTGATATTTTTACTTATTTGAATCACAGCGGTATGCAAGTGAAGTCAGTAATGATCGATCACAAATCGCTAAGACCTGCTGAACGCGCCCATTGTGTTAATCTAAGAACTGCAGAAACAATGTCAAAAAACATCTTCGGTGCGTTCTGTAGGAATATTATTTTTTGACAGCATTTCAATATTTGCGCTCTTTCCACTATTTTTAATTTGAAATTAGAATTTCGAAGTTACGTCACTAACTGAACCATCTCACACCTAAATACTTGTATAAAATCGCCATTTTTTTGTGGCTAGCACTAAAAAGTGTTCTTCTTCAAATGGTTTAACTTACAGTTTGCTTTCTTTAGCACGTATATCTCCTCATTCAAGCGCTTGTTCTCGCAGAAATCGGAATAGCCGTTAATCAGGGAATGTAATTTTGTGATTTGCTTATCACGATCGTCCAAGGCGCTCTTCATGCTCTCCACTTGGCACACCAGACGTTCGTTCTGCAAACAGAAGAGAAAAATAAAGAATGAGGAAACTTCGTTAGAAGCAATCACAAATAATGTGTGTTTTTTTGGCCAACTTGTAGCTTCAGTTCGTTGACTGGACTCGCATCCAGGTGGCGTGTGAGAACAATGACTGCCTCGGCATGCGCATGCGTCTGCTCGCAGGACTCTCGTTCTGGGCGTGTGTCTGCGGGGGTTGTGGGTGAGGAGGGGGGCTGGCATAGGTGCTGTTGCTCCACCTGCACCGTTAGCTCGTCCAAGTCCTGCTTGAACTCGTGTATAATGCTCAGGTAATTGTCGCGCGTTGTCTTCAGCAGCTCCGACTGATCCTGGCAGTGTCGAAGCGTGAGCTCCAACTGCTGGCGATGCGGACAATCCACGTTGTCATCGGGCTGCGATAATACCAGACGAATGTTTATACAAATGCTTTATAGTATGACTTCGATTTCGACTGCTTTTCATGCTTGCTTACCATGGTAATTGTTGGCAATAATGTCGTTGATATTTGCGCCTAGAAGGCGGCTAAATAATTTTTATTTTGTTTATAACACGCACTCTGTTGTGACTCGAGACGCATTTACATAGCTATTGGTAGACTATATCGCATATATTCGTAGTATGTACAATAACGGCATATAGCCATCGCATAGCTGTGTTTTGATTCCTCGACTTTCATTTCGATTGGCTTTAAATTGTTTTCGGTGTCAAATTATTTCGGCTTTCGTGCCAGCACACACATTTATAACTACATCGTATTCGCCTTCATTACCATTTCATTTAATTCCATTTTAATAAATTCGCTATTAAAACTTTGTCACGAAAATAAAATAAGAAGTAGACAGTAAGGAGGCAGGAGGCAGTTCGATTGTATGTAGGTGGTTTGCCAAAGTTTTCGGATTCAAAGTTTCTGCCACTTGCACCCACACAGACGAGTCAAATTATAATGCCAATGCCTCCCCGCAAAAGTCGTGTCAAACAATTGTGATTTCTCTAGTATATACATACAAGTATATATACAAGTACTATATGCTGCCAGTGGTTGGGTGCTTGACACGATTTGAAAATAAAGTTGCAGCGGTTCAGGTTGTGGGGGTGGCACAATATATATATATAGATATATACATTTGTTTGTATCTATAGCATTTGATTGAGCGTGGCTGCGCGCACTTAAAACAATTTTAAAGATATATTCGACAAATCAAAACTTTTGTGAAGCATTATGGTATTAAGTCTTTTACTTTGCTTTTATAAATTTGAACAGGAACTATTTCCTTTCTAGCAAGGCGAGTGATTCTTTTTGAATTTATAATGCGGATTAACTGTTGAAGAATTTATTCATATTTGTTTATAAATGTTGCTTAGAAATTTGAAAGGGAATTATTCCTATATACTAGCATGGCGATTGATTCTGTTTAAATTCATATTTTGCAGTAACTGTTGAAGAGTTTATTTATATTTGTTTATAAACACAAACTCGAATGAATGAAGAAAGTCCATCTGTATGTATAAAAGTATAAAAACGGAATATCTTGTCTGGGTAAGTCAATTGTTCTAACCACTATGTTTATGTTCTTCCGATTGATATTTTATTTTTGTTCATTCTAGCGATTTAAATTCTCAAACTTATCGTATTTTTTCTGTGCTAATTTTAATTTTTTTTATCTTTTAATTTTTTTAAAATTCGGAAATAAATTAAATTACCCTTTAACTTAATCGATAGTTTTGAGCATCTTTTGTCAATAATTATTAACTTAAATAACTGTAAATAATGTCTATTAAATAACGACACTAAATACTTTCGAAAATAGTCTCTAATAACTTAAGAAGCTTTCTTTTGCAACATATTCTCGTAGTATAAGACAATTCTTGGTAAAGCAATTAATCGATAGCATCCACACTCCTTCCTTCAAACTTTAAAATTCGGAAATAAATTATATTATCCTTTATCTTAATCGATAGTTTTAATTATTTTTTTGACAATACTTATTAATTTAAATAACTTTAAATAATACTCTAAAAAACTGCGTCACTAAATACTTTAGAATCACTTAAGATGTCAAATATTTCCTGAATTGTGAACAAATATTTATAATACTTTTTAATATAAATCACTGAAATCTATTATTTATCTTCATTAGTAGCTCTTAATTGATATCAAAATAAAAAGCCACGCACCCCTTTTTTGCACATTTTAAAACAATTTTTAGCCCTAAATCTAACTAGTCTATCGAACTTCTTTTTTACAATAAATATAGTAAATATGGAGCTCTACTTTCCTCTTGGCCTTCGCAATAATTGGCTAGAAAGCATATACCTGAAGAACTTGCAGAATTATTTATATTGTTTCATTACTTTGTATTGTGACCTTTTGGTCTTTTCGATGATGTCCTTAAATGTTTACATCCTATTAAAAGTATCTGCAGGCAGAGACCTCATTACGTGCTTCCACTCCATATATCAGAGCATTTATAATAGTTCTTTAAGCCGAAACTTTTGCCATGGAATTTGATGTTTTCATTCAGCACTTGACATCACTTCCAAGTAGTTGTTGGGTTCGCTCTGCACTCGGAAACTTTTCAATGCATTAATTTGCAGTTCATTTTCAGTTTCATTCTGGCCGCGTTTTCTTTTCCGCAGAACCCAAGCAATTTTCACTTGAGACACAACTTTTCAGTTCTTCCAGCAACAAACTTTTTGTTAATTGCTGTTACAGTTGTTGTTGTTGTTGTTGTTGTTATTGTTGGCTTACTTATCCAAAGCCTTGCTATCTGAAACTGAACACTTCACACGTCCATGGGCAATGGAATACTCTTGGAGCTGCCAATTGCTCGTCTGCCTGCCAGCCTGTCTGTCTGTCTGACTGACTGACTGGCTCGAAGGGCTTTCGGTTGTTGTTGTTATTTGTTTTTGTGCTCGTTGCCAGCAGCTTAGAAATGTGGAGTAATGTAGTCGTCGTCCTTGCTGGCGTTGGTGTGCAACTAATTAAGGCTCGTAAATTGACTGTTTTATGTGTTTATTTTGTGGAGCATCGACACCAAAAGCCGCCTACGACATCAACAGCAACACCAACACCAACACAACACACACTAATAAAAAACACCCTTTCCGATTATTACATTCACTGATTTCACATACTGTTTGTTGTCTTTCTCGCTATATACACAGAAATATCCTGATGTCGAGGAGCGTCGACTCCGCGCCTCGATTTGTTTCACGCGAATAAACAACGTTGCAAGCTCTCTGTTTGCTTGCGTTTGATTTTGTGCGCCAAAAGCCCACAGTCCTATGCCTACACTAAGACTCAGACCCGGACCCGGACCCGGCCCGAACCTAGACCCGGGTCTATCTCATCGATATGCATATCACTACTCGTTGTTCGCGTGTCGATTGTGGGTAAATAAAATATATAACACGAAGCCAGTCCGCGAAATGTGCGATGGTGAGGAGCCAATGGGGGACCAAAGTTCACTACCAGCCCGGCAATTGCAGTTGAACTCAGCGAACAAATTTACTTGGCCGACTTGGATATATGGAAAAGGAATAAGACCCCAACTACAATTGTTAGCTATTTGTATTTGTCGAGACTTTTTTATTTTCACTTTACACACAAAATATGTGCGCAAATAAATCAGCGATTCATTCGAACAGCAAACTATTGTTGTAAATTGGTTAAATACAGCCCACAGCTATAGCTACTCACAACTCCATATGGAGTACACACAAGTAGCATTATCTACAATATATATTTACCGTCATCTACATAGGTAGACGAGCCACATTTTACATGCAACTCTAATGGGTTTGGGGTCGAGATGCATTCGCATAGACAAGCATTGTAAAGCAAACTACACTTGCTCACAAAAGTATTTAACAGTTGAGACTGTAAAATAGGCAAGAACAGTACCCATTCTTCAGATGACTATTTACAAAAAAGAGGCATAGTTAGACTCTAAATTTCCAAGAATTAGTTTTAGGGGAAAAAACAATAAATACATATTTTTTTAGCTGAGGAGTGCATACTCGTTGCCAATATTTGATAAATACAATGGTTATATTATATTTGTATATTGACTATGTTGGAACCCGAATATTGCAAAACTCTACAGAACAATAGATCTACTCCTTTTCCCCAGCCCTTGCCAATTCTTCATAAACCAATGCTGTTAACTAAAAATTCACACTCCCTACTCCTGGAACAGAGCCCAACTCTTTAAAAATAAAAGCTTTTGTTATACTTATCTCAACATTAGTTGCTCTGAATTTTGGAATTTATGAGTAATTCTTAGTTACAATAACGAAAAAAAATTAACCACAAAAAAAATTACAGACGAATTGATAAGCTTCTCCCTTTTTGAAGTCGGTTAAAAAGGGGACAAAATAGGAAATAATTAATACTTTTACTGCCTAAAATAAAGCGGGGGCTATGTATCTGAAACACTTTTCTAAAATCCGACTCAACGTCCAGCTTCTATCTGGAATCGTTTATTGGTAGCTCCGTTTTCACTAAATTTTAAAATTTAATTCAGTATTTCAAGTTCGTTGCCATTTAAAGACAAAAATTTATAAAAATTCATAAATTCTAAATGCTCTAAACAGGGCTTTAAAAAGTGACTTACTTTTATCATAAAACTATAATTTAGGTGATGATTTTTAAGTCTTACTTTTATCATAAAACTATAATTTATAGATGATTCTTATATAAGTTTTTATTGAAATAACATTATATTCAAGAGACGGTTTTGGAATTGAAAGCAAATATTCGCCTGTCTGATCTTTTTTCGAATAAAAACATAATTATTTCTTTATTTTACTACTTTATGTATTTTTAATTTGAACACTATTATTTTTGAGTTTTAGAGCATATACTACTACTATATGTTCTTATTTAAAATATAAAACTAGGCATGTATATTCATTAAAATGTATTTTTAATTTTAATTCAAATTTGCAAACATTTCGCATGACTTTGCCCGTTAAGTGAAGCCACAATTACTTCCCAATTAAGTTTGTCCGCATACTTAGGTCGACTAGTGTACATATTCTAGTTTGTTATGCCAAGAAGCACCAAAAAAGTTTTCACATTTGGCGGGAAAATCTTTTGTGCTGGCGATATCTCAAAAACTTACGACGAAAAGTTAAAACTAAATACATATCTGTACTTAGAACTAAGCTGCGCGAAGTTGGTCAACAAGTTGTCGCTCTGCCTATAGTTTAGTCGTTGTATTTGTTGTTGTATTTAGTGTATTGTGCACATTTGTAGCTGTTTTTGTTGTTGTTGTTGTTGTTGTGTGGAGGCCCTCCCGACCGTTGCTCGTGTTGAACTGAACAGAATATATTAGTTTTGTTTTGAATTTAAAGAACATTTTGTTTATACTTTATGGGCTTTACTTACGCATGCTCTCAGATCGTCATGTTCGCTCTTATTTGTTTGCACTTCACACCTCTCGTATATCTGCATTATAGCACTGCAGAATGGATTCTCCATAGATGACTCAGTATAGATGTGATCATAGGAAAAGTCCGTAGAACGCTGTAGGAACAGTAAGTGAAGAAATATATTGACTTTTCATGGGTTATATAGAAGAAACGCCTGCTCTAATAAGCCTCCATATTGTGTGTAAATGGAAAAGTAGGTAAATTTTTTAATGGTTTTGGTAACAGTTGTATCAAGAAATGAAAACTATTTAATATAATACACTTTATGCTTAGCTGTAATTACTAATTCTATTTGTTTAGCTTGCTGTTCCGATTCGGAATTACTTTTGCTTTGTCTGTATAAACATTTCGGACAGCTCGTACTTTCCTTATCAGCGTACTTTCCTTACTTTTTAATGCTTAGGTACTTGTATAGTTTCCTTTCATAATAAAGTGTTTTTGACATCAATGGAGCAAACACTTGATGACACTAAAAATGTTAATGAATTCGATGTCTGTAATATAATTATTGGAGCTATTAGTCGAAAACAAAGACTTATGGTTTTATGCTGATGGAGATAGACATCCCTTTTACATTCCTAGTGATCACAATTTTTGTTAACATTTTTATGAAATTACAAAAAATGATGGAAATAAAGACTTAAAATTATGCTGATGGAGATAGACATCCCTTTTTGTTAACATTTTTATGAAATTACAAAAAATGATGGAAATAAAGACTTAAAATTATGCTGATGGAGATAGACATCCATTTTACATTCATAGTGATCAACATTTTTGTTAACATTTCTAAGAAGTTACAAAAAATGATATTACTTCTTTGTTATTTGTTAATATTTAATATTTTTTAATGCAGAACTTAAGATTCATCTTCCTTTAATAATGTCTACAATGTCTAAGAAATAGGCTCCTAGAAGATACCCTTTATTTACAATAGCTGTAAGAAATTTTTAGTTATTCCCAAAAACATAATGGACAGTTGTTCCATAACCAAAATAACTAAAAGAATTAGCTTTGTTTAATAATTATATACGAGTATGTCCGCTGCGCCTTTATGAAATCAATCAATGTATCTAGTTCAAAAAAAGCTAAAATAATCAGAACACTTAGTTCAGGAAATATTTTGAGAGAACAGATTTTTCCGACAATGCTGACATTATTCCCGATACGGGGATCGCAAAAATGTTAAAAAAAATGTTATAATAAACTCACCAGCTTGCATATGAGATCCGCAATATCCTTCAAAACAGCGCAATTTTTTTCATTCAAGCTACATTCCGATTCATATTTGGTTTGTAGCACTGCAATTGAAATTTTAATGTATTTTAAAATATTTTTAAATTCACAAATGTCTACACACCATTATGCTGGCTCTCCAGACGCAGACACTTCTGTTGCAACTCTTTGTTGCAACAATTCAAGAGCTCAAGGCGCTTGCGCACCACCTCGACCTCAACTAGTTGCGCACCCTCAGAAGTTTTAGAAGAACTTGTCGCCGGTTCCGTTTGAACGATATTGCATTCCAGATCCTTCAGCTGACAGCGAATGGCCTCCAGTTTGCGCAGAGTGTCGTTCCGTTCTGTGCTCTGTCAAGTCAGAAGGGGGAAAATGGGATGAGAGCATTTATATCATTATGGTTAGCACTTACGAGTTGTGTGAAGATAAGCCCCAAGCGCTTTTTATAACATTCCACAGCCTCCGACTTGCATTGATTGTGCAACTCAAAGACATCGTCGAGTTCTTTGCTGAGTATGCGTTGCATACGGACTTCCTGTTGCTCCTGACTCTCCAGGTTCTCGAATATGCGATTGGAGATTTTCTATCGATTTGAGTTTTATTTGGGAAAAGCATTTTAGATAATTGGTTCGGCAGCTTACGTCATTATCGGCTTCCGAGTCAAAATTCTCGGCATTATCGGAACAGGTTTCAGGGTGGCAGGGTTCGGATGTTAAGCTATTTATAGTCTCCTTAGTGGTATGATTAGCCATATTGGTCATACAATCGTGCATTTCCAGCAGCTGATTATAGGTGGAAAACATGGGTTAGACAAAATTTAATGTTCACCTTAGATTTAATGAAACAGAGAGAGAGAGAAATCTAGATTCTTTGCTTAAGCGAATTTGAATTTGCGGTTTAAAAGCATAAAGCTATATGTTCGTAAATTAAAAATTGAAATGCTTGGCCAACTTGGTTAAAACTTGAATACAAGTTCGGAATCCGTTAATACATTTGCAGTACTGTTCTTATCTAAACATGTGCTGAGCATTAACATCTTTCAAAATATTTACTTAAGGTGGGTTTGTTGATTGATTCCACTTTTCAAAGCTACCAACAATTTGTTTAAAAAAAAAAATACAGTTTTGGAACAACTGAAGTAATGCCCATCTCATTTCTTATGCAATAGGTACTCTTTTAAAATATTTACTCAAGGTAGGTTTGTTCATTGATTCCACTTTTCAGAGCCACTAACCTGTTGATTCAGCTGTGCAATGCACTGATCTTTGAGAATGAGCTTTTGTCGGGCCGTCTGCACCACCTCCTCCAGATTACTCATTTGGGTCTGTAGATGGCAGACCTCATCGTGCTTGGCAGCCACTTCTGTGGCCAGAGATTTCATGCACTTGGCGATCTAAGAAATAATTTCAATATACAAGTAATAATACCATCAAGTCGAAATAGTGCGAGCATGCGGAAGAACATCGTTTCACAATGTAGAAAAACGATTTATTTTAGAAAAAAGACCTTTGGTTTATTTTTCTATTTCAAAATATAACAACACAATACTTGTAGTGGTTTATAAAAAATAAATAAAGAATCATTTAACAGAAAACCAACAAAAGCAATGATGGGTTTTGGAACGATTTTGATTTCAGAATCGAAATCTTCTGCTAGTTTTTAAAGTGCGCCCTATTCTTATTAGGCCCTTTGCACCTGCAGTCTCCGCATGCTCTACCGTTCTATAAGGAAACAGTGTTGAGTAACTAGCACAGAAGAATGAGGCCAGACACCACCACTTGCATCACTTACCCGCTCGCTCTCGCTCTCTGGTCTAGACTGATCGCGCGAGATGCCCAACAGCTGGTTGACAGTTAGGGTTTCCAAATACATATCGTCGGTGTTCCAAACATTTTTGTGATAGGCACCCTGTACGAGCTTTATAATTGCGCAGATATCTTTGCGCAACTTGCGATTCTCCTCCAATGCCTGCTGCTGCTCGCCACGCACGGACTGAAAACAGGCCACGATCTTGCTATGGGCGTCCTTCTCCAGAGCCGACATATTCCCAAAGATAATGTTATTCACCAGCAGCAGTAGATCCACCCATTCTTGAAATGTAACCAGACGCAGCTGTGTTGCGACATTCTGGGAATGGGGACTAGGAATATCTTGCATTTGATGGGATCGTTTGGTACTCACCCCTCCATCACCACCGCTGTTGCTGTCGAGGCAATCGATCTCGTCCAGGCGCTTGAGAAAAATGCTATTCAGTTCGTAGTTCATGAGAGCCTCATCCCCGCTGCTCCCAGCCGACTCCTTCAATCGCTGTAAGCGACCCCGATAGTATTCCGTGGACATTGTCTCCGTGGAGGCATTGCACTGGGCATGTGGTCTGATAATGTTGTTTTCGCTGGTCCCCCCACCACCTCCTCGCCCGCTGGCCAACTGGTGGAGCTGCAGTTCGCTGTGGGGTGTGAAAAGTGTCGAGGTGCTGGGCTTATCGCCACTGTTTGAGCCCACGGAGCCCAATGTCGGCCTATTATTGGTCTGGTGCTCCTCATCATGGTGTTGGCCATTCGCGGTGGTTAGACCCATGCTGGTGGCATCCAAAACGAAACCGGTGCGTCTTTGACTCATCACGCTTGCGTTCCCAAATGGTTCCAAAACTTTTTCCAACCGTTTCTCTTTCCGTATCGTATTATATGGAGAATTTTTTCAGTACAAATTCTAATTCTAATGTGTGTATGAGTTTTTACCAAGCTTTATATTTCTAATTTGAGCATCAAAAAGTGAATGTGTGTTAATTTCAAGGCATAGTTGATGCCAAGTTCGAGTTAGAACACCGATTCAAATGCACTTCAAATAGTTGTTGTTGTTATTGTTGTTGTTCACTTTAGTAACTCATTTCGCGCAAGGTCACTAACTTCACACGCACGGGGCGGCCAAAGCTTTAAAGCCGCCCATGTGCCGGAGCGTTAAAAAACAAAAGCAACACAAAGTTAATACGATATGTCTGCCCGCTTGTATTTTCATACACTTGCAAAAGGTATTATAATTCCTAGGGTGGTGTTTGCAACAGATTGAATAAAGAAGAAGCACTATTAGTTTCTTCTTTCAACTGCCAAGGAATCAATATTTTCGGGGAAAAGACATAATTCTTAGGGTCAATAAAGAAGATTAGTTTGACTCGTCTATTAGTTATTTCTTCAACTGCCAAGGAATCAATATTTTCGAAGAAAAGGTATTATAATTCTTAGGGTGAATAAAGAAAAAGCACCTTGGATAGGACACTCTGTAATTAGTTCGACCCGTCTATAGGTTTTTTCTTTCAACTGCCAAGGAATCAATATTTTCGATAAAAAGGTATTATAATTCTTAGGGTGCTGTTTGCAACAGATTGAATAAAGAAGAACCACGTTGGATAGGAAGAATTGTAATTAGTTCGAGCCGTCTTTTAGTTTCTTCTTTCAACTGCCAAGGAATCAATATTTTTGAGGAATAGATATTATAATTCTTAGGGGAAATAAAGAAGAAGCACATTGGGTAGGAAGAATTGTAATATCAATATTTTCGGGGAAAAAGTATTATAATTCTTAGGGTGGTGTTTGTAACAGATTGAATAAAGAAGAAGCACTATTAGTGTTTTTTTTCAGCGGCCAAGGAATCAATATTTTCGAGGAAAATGCTAGATTCAGATCTTTTCTTCAGTTAGGCTTTATTTATTGTAAATGTGTGGTCTTTCCAGCACGATCTCTTTATTTGATTTCCAAAGATTTGATTCCCAAACCTTTCAATTTGTATTGACTCTAAAGATGTCGCACTAGAATAAATCGACCTTATTCCACTAGCTTCTAAGTATTCAATGGAGTATTCGTTTAGTCTTTTGAAAATAGAAGACTGTTCTACTTTTGAATAAATGCTCTTAAAATTTTCAATACTACTCAGGAAGTGGGTGGATAAGTTCGACTGTTTACGCAAATAGTAGTGCAGATTTCGCCCCTAAAGAAAATAAGCTCCACAAACACTAATCTGCTGGAATTTGCATCCTTGGTGAATGATACTTCTTTAATAAAGATGGAAACTTATGACTATATATATATATGACTTCACTAAGGCATCTGTAAGTCTATTACTATTTCGCTTTAAGCTCAATAGAAACTCTGTCAGCTCTAATGGATTTAATTTCCTCAAATTATATTTTAAAATATATAAAATATATATAATATATATATAAATATATCTATATTTCTGCAACTAATTGAACGACTGATTGATTGATTGATTAAGGATAGGCTGACTGATTGGTAGATCTATGTAGTACACTGTTTTATGAATTTAATTTAATAGTTTATTTTTTTGGCAGAATGTAGACTAGTCTCGAGCCTAGTGCTCAGACTGTTATCAAAAGGCTTTAATTAATTTTATTTCGGATTCAATTCACAATTAAAGCAAAACAATTTTGGCATTAGATTCTCCCAAAATATTTTGCAAGGGTATAAAATTATCGGCGCGCCCAATATAGCATTATTTTCTTGTTTTTGTTTCCAAACATATGCACATACTTATATGTATGTGTGTGTGTGTGTATGTTTGTAAATACTACTCGCTGTTTAATGCGAACCTTGCGACGGAGACGGAGACGGTGACGGCGACGTTGACGACTGCGTCGCCTTAGCGTTCATATCTTTTGTTTGTAGTCTTCTGACGTATTTAGTTTTGTTTATTTATATTTTTGCCGTTTTTTTTGCCTTCTTTTTTGTTGTTGCTGGTGCTTTTTTTTAATATATGTATGTATATAAACGGTTCGTTTCGTCGGTTTCGGTTCAGTTGAGTTTTTCCAGCATTTTTTGTTGTTGTTGCTGTTGTTATTGTTGTTGCTGGTGTTGCTGCTCGAATTGCGCGACCGACGACGACTGCGTGCTGCCCGTTACGCTCGAAGACGGCAACTGGCGGACTAAGCTCGCACGGAATATGGAATGAACGAGTATGGCTGCAGTGCTCGGCTCTTGGCTTTTTTTTTTTTGGTTTTTTTTTTTTTTTTTTTGGCTGATGCTCCATTTGAGCGGCTCTCGTTTCGAGCGGGTCGATCGGGTCTCTCCCGTTTTGGCGCCCTCTTGGTACCGAGCAGCCTTATCAGTGCCTTAGATCGTGTCGTTTGCTCGCTTGTTCGCGCTCCATATTTGTCCAAGCCATTAAAATTGTTCTTTGCCCGGGGGAATTGCATTGGCAACTCATACTATTTGTTTGCCTAACGTGTTTATGGCTGTTGTTGGCTCTGTTGCCCATTTAATTGATAAATAATTTGGTCTTTGTTAGTTCTTGGCCAGATAACACCATTTTTTATATGTAAATATTGGCGTATCGGCGCAGTAATGCTATCATACAAATATTTGCCATTGATGTGATATCAGCGATATTTTAAATACATACATTTTCCTTTGAATGATCCCAGCTTACCCATCAGATTATTATTTATCTACAGACTAAAATTACGGTCACACGCGCCAATTTTTTGCACTCAACTTTTGTTGTTGTTCTTCAAGGCAGCAAAGTATTTTTTGCAAAAATAAAATGTTTGTAATAGCTAAGAGTTCCTATTGCGTTAAAGTAACATCACTTGGCAAACTTTTAAAATTGGACAAATCTATATATCGGACAATGCCCGTACCCTCTGATAAGTAAACTCCATATAAAAAGTACTTTTTTTGTATATAATTATTATTGCTTGCGATAGCTGGAGCCTTAAGTTTACGATTTCAACGATTTCTAGTTCAACAAACTTGCCCTACAAATATGAACCTGACTTTCACAGCTATTGAAGACCTACTTGTATTCCCCATATTTGTGTAGACTTAGAGATCCTATATTCACTCCATGATACAACTTTTTAGACTACCCTAACTTTCCAATCTTTAAAATCAGAATACAAATTTAAAACCAAAATGTTGATAACCCAGCTTTCACAAAAATACTTTCCCTTGTAGACGCTTTTCATTGTAAACCCATTGAATGAAAATTGAGCAAATCAAATGGTTTTTGTAATATTTGCATAAATTATATACTAAATAGCAAAGCTACCAATTAAGCAAGGTCTTAATCGAAAGCTCTAGAACAAGTTTAAAATTTCGCACCTAGTACCTTGCAATCTCTTAATTTCTCACAAAACTTTGTTCGCGTGTCTATTTATTTGTTAAGTTTACGATTTCAACGATTTCTAGTTCAACAAACTTGCCCTACAAATATGAACCTTACTTTCACAGCTATTGAAGACCTATTCCCCATATTTGTGTAGACTGTAGAGATTATATTCCTATATTCACTCCATGATACAACTTTTTAGACTACCCTAACTTTCCAATCTTTAAAATCAGAATACAAATTTAAAACCCAAATGTTGATAACCCAGCTTTCACAAAAATACTTTCCCAAGTAGACGCTTTTCATTGTAAACCCATTGAATGAAAATTGAGCAAATCAAATTGTTTTTGTAATATTTGCATAAATTATTTACTAAATAGCAAAGCTACCAATTAAGCAAGGTCTTAATCGAAAGCTCTAGAACAAGTTTAAAATTTCGCACCTAGTACCTTGCAATCTCTTAATTTCTCACAAAACTTTGTTCGCGTGTCTATTTATTTCTTCGCTTCAAAATTGTCTCTCCCGCTTTCACATTGAAATGTGAAGAGTGTAAAGCTTTTGGATCACCAAAGAAGTGCTAATTATCATATCTAATAGATACTTTTTTCGAGTTCGAGTATTCGCGTTCAGTCGATAATCAGATGTTGTTGTTAAACTACTTATTATGTATAATTTTTTGGGATTGTAGTTTTTGGTTGTGTCTAAGTGAAATGTTTGTTTACGTTTACAATTTGTAATCAGCACGAGCAGACAAGTTGGCCTGCGGTTGTCTGTCTGTGATCCTAATTAATTTTTCCTAATTAGAGTTTTCCCATATACTATGTATACGCGTATGATTGTGTATTATTTAGATATAATATCCGAATAAATACGTGAATACACTTACCTACAAGCTGTGCTTGCTATCTAGCTTATTGACAATATTTGCAAATAGATTTCAGTAGATCTCTATATTTTCTACCTAATACTAAAAATATAACTCCTGCTATTTGTGTTCCCTTTACTTTCATGTTCCATTTATACAACAAGAATGGAAAGCTAGGGTTAAATTAAAAATAAGAGAAAACATTTTAATAATTGACCTAAAACGATGCAAGTTGACACGATGGCAGATAAGCACTAACTAGATTGTCGAAACAAGCTACGGGATTTATCTCATAAAATCACTAATAGCGGGAGCCTAGGGGAACATGTATACCAAGTTTGGATATTCCAGCTCTTGTACTTCCTGAGATCCTTGCGATCATACAGACGGACGTACATTTCTATATCGACAAGTCTTGCCATCCTGATCAAGAATAGAAAAATTTTGGTGGGGTTTGCTTAGCCTCCTTCTGTGCGTTACGTACATTCGCACTAAATTAGTATACTCTTAGGGTAGAGGGTATAAAAAGTACCATATTAAACAGTTGATGTCTAAATGGTTTTATAATCGGTGGTGCCATGTGGGCATTATGTAGTTACTATCAGGCCACTAGCTGTATGCCCAGAACAGATTAATTCTTATCCATTGTAATGTCGCTCGGCAGTTGTTATTTATTTCTGCTTAATAATAAACAAAGACTTGAGTAGACCTAATGGAATAAAGAACAGAAATAATCTAAAAAACAACACCGCCAATGCTGACGTTTGTTCAAAGCGTATCTGAAATAGCTAGAAAATAAGGAAAAAAATGGTTTCCCTATGGACAGTCCGCTCGACGCTAGACCAACTTCCCCCAGAGGCCTTTTAGTACATGGCGCTGCTTGATTATGATGAGCGATTGGTTTTTAAGCGACGTTTTGGCAAAAATTTAAAGGGTCACAAAGCCCAGATGATAGAAAGGTTTTCCCAGATGCTTAATGGGTTTGTTTTGCAGGGTGTAAAAAGCTTTTTATTTATTCCTCTTCTTAACAGTTAAGGCGCACATGACTCCAGTCTTAACGGCCTTCAATAAGGACAGCTCCAGAGCATACATACTACCTGTAGAATTTTATAGATCCCATGAAATAAAGGAAAATGACATATTTGAAATCATACTTTACATATGAATGATGCATTTAACGCTCATATATGTTTTATTAATGTACCTTTTAATACGTAAAGAACAAAAAATCATGTATGTACAATGTTTTTCTTCTGCTCTCCTCATTCACAAATTAGATGTATGCTGCTTAAAGTATAATGGGGCTCTCAACTCTCAAAATTGTGTTTACTGCTTTCACGTTTTTTTGTTTTTTTCATTTATCTTATAATTAAAAACCAAAGCGCAATGCGCAATCAATTAAAATTCAATACAAATGTTTAGCAAACAAAACACTGAATACATAAGTAGAGTTGGAAATTCATGTTTTAACTAATTAGTCGGCCTTAGATGAACTACATGCTTAAATTTGTTGGTTCGCAAAGGATCATGTATGTGTTGCGCTCCTCGATGAAAAAGTAATGGAAACGAAACACTAATCATTAAAGACAAATCGGTTTTAAGTTTTCGTTAAGCACATAGAAAAATCGGTTCACATAAATCTCATATAAGGCTGTGTTAGTCGGCTGGCTGTTGTTGGAGACCCACAACACAAGCACAAGAATTTTGAATAGACGCACGTAAGACGTAAAAATTACATCAAACGCTTACTAAATTAATTAATAATTCATTTATAAATTTATTAATTGTTTGTTTCTTTTTAGCTATATTTAAAATGGTTTTATTTTATATTATTTTTTATTTTGTTTAGTTTCCTTTTTGTTACTCTGCTGCTTATAATTAATATTCATTTCTCTTGTAATGTCTATTGATTTCGTTGCGTGCATCATTGAGAAATGAATGTAATGTGAAAGCGAGTTCCTATGTGTGTGTGTTCGTATGTGCAATTGTGTGTTTGTATGTATGTGAGGCCAAAAATATGGTTTATTGCCAAATTTAAATTATATAGTCGAGGATTTTGTCAGCTGCTCTTGCGTTCCTACTGTTAAATTTTGAAGTTTCGTTTCATGTTTGTAAATGAACCATTTTCACAATTCGAATATGTAACGTCTTGTCACACTAGAAATGATGATTGTGGGTATTGGGATGGATCTATTTGAGTTATTTATATATATATATGTTCCATATAGACATTGGTTGGTCAAAATAGCTTATTAAACCTAACTGTAACTGCGTATTTGCCTTTATCTATCTCGCTTCTATTTCCCAGTTTGCAAAAGCGTCCGTCGTGCGGCTTATAGTTCTCTTCATTCTTTCTTTTCTATTGTTTTGTGGAAGGGTACGCGCGAATGTCTTCTTGATGCGTTTCGAATAAATATTGGTTGCAATTGTTCATGAAGGAGTAACTGAGTGGGTGTGGCTGTATCGGTGTTTATGCCTTCGCAGTGTCGACTGTTTACAAATTAGAGTGTTGCCTGCCTAAATGAGTTAGCTTGTTGCTGCTTAGGCCAAGTAAACATAAACTTTGCGATCTTCAGGCGTTCGCGCCAAATATTCGCGCTCGATAAGGCCCTCAATACGTTTCTTAATAAATACGGGTGATGGTAAGAAACGCGACTTAAGTTGCAGTGTCACATCCGATACAAGTAGATTGTGCTGTAAAAAATAGAAAACAAAACATCGTTTAAGTAAAAATAAATAATAGGTAGTAATAATAATTAAATATTTGTTTAGTAGTGGTTTGGAAAGGATTCATCAAATATCATTAAGATTCGGGGCTCATATTTCCCAACTTTTTACATATTGGAATGAATTCCATAAGCTATGAAATAGTTACAATTCTGTTTTGCATTTTAAAAATAAATAAGCTATATCTATTTTGTTTCTCTATCCCCGGCCAGAACTTACCGCCATGCGCTTGCGCGCCTTCATAATTCGCACAATAGCCGCTTCAATTTCATGTTTTCGATCCTCATCTACTTTGCCACGCGTCTCTTTTCGTTCCGGCTCTGATTCACCCTTGGCAGCTACAGTTTGTATCTTAACTCTGCAATAGAATATTCATTTGTTTATTTTCGTTTCATTAAACATAGCATAAAGGATACCACACATACCTATGGAACTTTGACACAAACGCATCGTTCACATAGAACTCGTCCGTTGGATCAATTTCCTTTGTTTTCGTCTTGCTGTTACGGACCAGCAAACGTTGCGCTGGTTTTCCCATCGATAACGACTGTAACGCGCGCACCAGCTCCCGCTCGGGTATGTCTGTCTCCTGATGTATGTCATCATAGGTGAGCACATCACGGTTATTGAACAGCAATAAGACGCACATCTGTGAAAAAGTGGAGGATTACAAAAGGATCTAACTCTTATTTTTGGATATCTTAAAATTTCCCTAATGAATGGCGTCAGTTAAAAAGCTTGATAGGCAAAAACAAGCCTATAGGGTTTTAAATATATATTTCGTATTGGTTTTAAGGGATAGAGTTACGATACATTTTTGTGCAAATTATTGACCGTACCTTAAGCTAAGCCATAACTTTGGTCAAAGATCTAACTAACCCTTATTAATATTACTATTGGTTTTAATGCCTAAGTCTAACGAAAGAGAATGGAAGAGGCACGACGACGGCCCCCAGTAGCACCAATTTGTGTGCCCTAAGACCTTAATGAAGGTGAGTTATTTTCTCGTCTAGGAATGTAGAATTTGAGCAGAGGTAGGAAGGTCTTGGCGAAGGTGCTTTCCCCCACTTCAAAGTAAGGCCGGACAGTTCATAAGAGCGCTGTGGATTTATCGTCCGCCCGACAGAACCTAAATTCTGCAACGCCGGACAGATTCGTTTGAAAAAGGCATATGGTGAGCTTTGAAGTACACTACTCTGGAATATATACTCTACTCTAGAAATATACATGGACCCTTCGCATTAATAGCTAAGTTGTTGGGATTGTAGAGTACTCCACTTGCCTGATAGGTGGACACTTGTAGAATGTGCTTGCGCGTTGTGGTGGGCACGGTGCAGCCATTTGAACTCGAACTGGGACCATCCTTGTCTTTGTCGCTGTCCGTCGTTTTGCGGCCAAAGAAAATGGCATTTATGTAGGCAGTACCTAATAGCAAATTTAATTTTAAAAATTAGCTGGCTTACTATTTAGGTACATGGATTTTAAGACTTGCCCATTTGCGGTTGTAACGTCAGTTGGCGGCCCGAATGCTTATCTAAATAGAATTTCTTAAATACCTCGAACGCTTCCCGCGGTGCTGAGGGTATGTTGCAATTTGGCGTCGCTGTCTGTGGTTTGCAATTGAAAAAGGTTTTTAAGACATTCTTAAATGGAAATCATAATAAAGTAAATGGACTCACCTGTGTGGGCCAAAAACCCGTCGTTAAAATGCGAACCGTCAGTTCAACGCCGCTTAATGACAAATTATTATTATTTACAAAGCTCTTGAACTCATCCATGATCGTATTGGAAACAGACATGTCTTTGAACATGCCCTCTAGCTTTGAGGTGAATTGACAGCCACATTCAGTCTGTACGGCAAAAATAAATGGAAAGGATAACGTTAATACCTGTCTGGACTAGTTCCATTTAACTTGCCACTAACCTTTAATTTGGATATCATATTCTTTTCAAAATCATCAGAGACTGATTTGTTAAGAAGTAAACGTTTGGCCAAATGCGTCTTGTAATAGCGTTCAAATACGTCTTTCTCCAATAGAAAACGGAAGAGTACCATGGTCTTGTCCAGTATTGTTTCAATCTCCTGTTCGCTCATCTAAAAATTAGACATTTGTGGTTACCAATCAGACTGTTAAACGATTTCATTAATATACTTACACCCTTGCCACCCTTTTTCAGTTTATCGTCAATGAATAGGGACAAGTACTCTGGAGATTTTGTGTTCAAGTTGAGAAAATGTTCAAAGTCCGATGAGATTACATTTTTGAAGATGCGATCATTACCGAACGAATGAAACAGAAACTGATCGAAACGGTCTTTGAGATCCAGAAGATTCTGCACAAATGTTATGGGATTTGTGTTGCCATTTTCCTCCTCCTTAACCAGCATGCGTCCCTGTTCCCGCAAATATGCTGACATCGTGTCCGCTATCACCTTAAGACCCTCCTCTTTTAAGCGAGAGAATAATTTATATGTGCAAGCCAAATCTTCGGTCTTTGAGTTCTTAATCATATGAACGACGCCCGAATTCTCCATTTCAACGATGGTACGCATGTGTTTCTTAATCAGTTCTTCCTCCACTACGCGTACAATGCGCGGTTCCGTATCCTTGTCCAGATAAAGCGCTGCGCGCGACGATTCCTCTGTGATGCGCGCTTCCACCTTCTTGATGTAAACGCCAGCGTTGTTCTCAGCAAGAAAGTTCTGCGATTCAAATTTATAAAAGGCAGCGGACTGTGTGAGAAACGGTTTCTCAAAGTCCTCCTCATACACGGTGCGCGAATTAATTCCGAGTGTTATAAGCATTGTGCAGGCATTTTTAATGGCTAAATGATTGATGGCTTCGCCATGCCGTTCCTCCATGACCATTCCTAGCAGTTTTTCCCGCAATGCTTTCTGTATTTCGGAGAACCGTACGACCTGAAAAATAATAAATAATTGTGTTAGGAATTGAAAATTCCAGTGAGGGAAAGCTTCCAGACTCATAAAGACAAAATATTTTCTAAATTTGCGGAATCTTTTAAGAATCAGTCTAGTTCAGCGTCCTAGCGATGCTGATTTTTAAAATTTTAAGGCAGGCTACAAGGTATATGTAAAGAATCGTGAACACTTGGAATTCAATTGGTTAGAAAAGCCATTGTATGTTTAAATATTTAGGAGGTTTGGACTGGAAGTGGAAATGTTGAAATCATATTCCATAATAACGCGGTTATGAAGGTTTCAAATGAACGAATATAGGAGAATGATTCTAGGAGGAAATGTTTGAGATATCAGTTTCTATAGTTATATCATGTACTTATCTCTATTTTATATGTTTCCGGAATAGGAAAAAGGGATCACAATATATTTAAGATCTCATACTTATTATTTCTAATGCTTTTCAAAAAGTTGCAAAAAAAAAAAAAAACAACCAAAAACAATAAAGTAAATGGTTCACTTGAAATCATATTTTGGAGATCCGATCCATATAACCTTTTTATGCACATACCTGATCTCGAAACAGTATCAGGCCTAGATTGTAAACGTTGTCCACATCTTTTTGCTGCACGTAGACGCGATCCATGTACATCAGTATGTCTCGTATCATGACCATGGAGGTCTGATGATCGGTCCAGGCCTGATTTAGCTTGGGCAAAAAATTGCTGTGCAAACTTTCGAGCACATCCTGTCGCACTTTGTTCTCCAAATGCTCTGAGACGACCTCCCGCAGACCATAGTACAAACGATTGCCATGTTTGTGCAAAACCATGTTGTAGGCATTTCGATACAGCTGCTCAAAGGATAGGCCCGAATTGTTCTTCTTTTGTATCTCCTGTATGGCATTCTTCAAACTAGCCCAAATCGTCTCCACGTACTTCTCGTCCATGGAGGCCTGCAATGAAAGAGGGGAGGGAAGGGAAAGGTGTGATTAGATGTTATGGTTGAAGGCGGTCGATTTAGAATGATGGCTGGTCTAACATTAAAGGCGCGACGCTTATACTCTGGCAACCACAGCGGATATTTGCGTGAGATTTCGCGCAGACGCGTCGTCCCCGTCGAAGTGCCTCCGTGATTCACATTGGCCACGGGCGGTACGCCCGAGTTGGAGTTGGAGACGGCGCGTGTGGAACGCGAGGCGGTGCGTATGCGTCGTTGCGAGTTGTTCACAGTTGCAGCGGACTGTTGGGGAGCCGGACGTAACGGCGGTTGCTGCTGCTGAAGCTGCATCTGTTGCAGTTGTTGCAACTGTTGTTGCTGTTGCAGCATCTGCTGCTGAAGCTGTAGTTGTTGTTGCTGCTGCTGTTGTTGTTGTTGCGGCAGCGGTGGAAATCCAGGAGGTGGCTGCAAACTGATTTGCACAGACCCTGTTGTTGAATTGCCGACCACAAGGTTAGCGGCTGCCGGATTTAGAACACTATGATGCGATGAGGGCGGCTGAGCGAGATTGTTGATGCCGACATTGCTGTTGTGGCTGCTGGCATGGCTGGGCGAGTTGCCAGTGGCGCCGGCACGCGAAGAATGGCTGTGACCCAATGCGTTGCGTGAGTTGCGAGTGTTGCTCAGCAGTTGAAATGATGGCGCCTGGTTGGCTCCAACGTTTGGGCTGCTGGGCAACTGATTAAAGTTATTCGAGCCGGCCACTATGCGATTATTGTGGTAATGGGCCTGCGCATTTAGATCGTTCTGGGCGTTGTTGTTGTGGTTGTTATGGCCGAACTGTTGGGACGAGAAGGGCGCCACGTAGGGATTAGGACGCTGGTCCCGATTGTTCATTTGGAACTGGAATTGTGCGCCGCCTCCAGCGCTGGTCGTGGATTCGAGCGCTCCAGTTGTCTCTAACGGATGCTGGAATATATAACGTGGTGGTGGTGACGAATGTTCAACAATGTGGGCGCTTCTCGGAAACTCCAGCGGTTCTAATTGTGACAGCTCCGGGTGATGGTAATGCGGTGGCAGCGGACGTAGCCGTGAATGCCGTTGATGTTGCTGCTGCTGCTGTTGTTGTTCGTCCAGCGCCAGCCGACGGGTTTGTTGGCCCGCTGGTGCCGCACGAGAACGACTTCCGTTTGTGGACCTAATTTTGGCGATTTGGCAGACACACAAGCTCTAAACAATTGAATTGCGTCTTTCTTTGAGTCAACTTCGGGCTGCCCTTCAACACGTCGGTGTTGGCGCCGACCACAATCTTTTAGCGCTTGGGACAATGTTCCTTTTCTTCATGAAGGAGTTACACCTGTTTGTGCTGTTTAGCGCCCAAGTCCAGGTCAAGTATTGTGTTTAGGAACAATAATTTGTGTAAAATGGAATGAGCTTGAGAGCAACTTAAAAACTAGAATGGGATTTTTTCGTTTTCAATACTTTTGACTATAATTTCCTCGACCGAATTTGAACAATGTGAATATAAACAAATAATTTTGTTGAATGAGTTGTCCCTAGCGTGCTGGCCTGCTACGTTCTAATCTAATCAAAATCAAAACATTTCGCCAATTACGTAATTCAAAAAACAGCATTAATTTGCAAACTTATGCTGAATCTGATTTCACTTACTAGTTTTATAAAATGGTGAAGCCCATGTACAGTTTATATTGTGACCGAGGAGATCTGAAGGGGTTATTATAATACGAGTAGAGCAGGTCTTAAGATCTTTGAGATTGGTTCGTAAGTATCAATTGAACTGATCAGATATAAGGAATAATATATAGTCTCTTGTGTAGCAATTCCAGCTTGTATACTGCAGTGCTTGTATACATTTTAAATAAGAAAAGAAATAACCCAATTTTGATCGCCAATTGCTGACAGCTTTACTGATGAATTTATCTGCTAAACTACTCTTAAAACTTAAAAAACCTAGCGATATATTGTTTTTTTAATGCCTCCAGTCCATAAAACCTGTTGTCCGATGAAATATTTTTGACCTGAATCGGACATTTATAAGAGAAGTAGTTTTTTGTTGCTCTATTGTACCAACAGGGATAGGGAGAGAGATTAGCTAAAGGTAGGTCAGGTTCTCACCGATTCCTCTCTTTGCCAACTCACTGATTGATCTTTAAGAAATGTGCATGCAGTGCGACAAAAAGAGACATATATTTTGCAAGAAAAGAGCGGGAGAGCATTAACATTTTACTGTTTTTGCCATAGACATGCCATTCAGAATCTGCAACTTTAAAACATTATTGCACGCACATCCATAGATTAATTTCCGTTTTCCCTGCCGTTTTAAGTAACCGATAACGGATCGCGCGTTACAAACGAACGTAAATAAAATCTAGTTTTTAGTAGTATCACTTGTTGTGGATTATACATACCGGAAAGGCGCGTATGCGCATCTTTCCCTCCTTCTTGGGAGGATTTCCCCGTATATTCATGACTTGCTGGCGTCGGCACTGCTCCTCCACGTTTCCAGCGCGTTAGTGGCGCTTGCAGCTGAATGCGCACAGCGCAGATTTATATTTTTAACAAAAAAAAAAGGCTTGAGAAGACGTATCTCTCTCTTTGGGGTAGCGGTAACGCCTTGCACGTACAATTGTTGTTATTTTTGCTGTTGTTGTTGTAAACAAACCGCTTTTGGAGTTGAATGTCTCGGATTTGGCAGGCGTTGGCAAATGGGTTGCGAAGGCCGATGCTTTTAAAAAATATAACTTAGTAGGAGCTGCAAAAGTCACAAAAGAGAAGAAAACAATTTAGTTTTAAATAATTTCAGAGTTTGTTGTTTTGCACTTTTGCTTTTGGGGCTACACTTGCAAGTCAGCAAGCCAGGCAGCGCGGCAGCGACAGCGGCAGAGATGGCGAAAGGCAGCAGAGATCAGAGCGCTGTCGCTCCTTTGTTGTACAATTTTTAGTTCTAATGCACTGCAGATTGCAACTCTCGTCGTTGTCTTTATCTAGTAATTTTAACATTTGAAAAACACTCGGCAGCATTACGCTTTCGTTTCGTTTTGTAAAACAGCAGTGCACGCACACATAAGCAAAAAGCGACGAAAAAAGAAAACTCACACGGCGCTGCAAAAGAAATTGTCACCGTCACTGAGTTGGCTGAGTTTGCTGCTAATAATTCTATTTAATTGCTAGACAACAATTTGTCGAATCATGTAGATCGAGCTTAGACTAAATACTGCACTACAAATTTGAAATTATCTATTGTTTTTGTGCTATATGTTTTCTATAGATTTATTTTCTGTTTCTGTTCTTCTGTTTCTTTTTTCATACATGGCAAAGAGACCAATGTTGCTTGCTACTCTATGTCTATGTGTGTGCGTGCGTGAGTGCGTCGGTGTGTTTGTGAAACTGCTGTTTTTGTTGGTGTATGCGTGTTCGCGCCGCGCTGTGCCATCTTTTAGAGCGGTTTTTTCGTGAATTTTTGGCTTATTACCCAATCTAAGTCGTTGTGATTTAGAAGCTTGATTTAATTCACTTGCAATATATGCCACACGCGTTGCACTTGCTGTGTTTTGTTGTCTAATTTCTTGATGATTACATTTACACACATTGCAATTGTATTGATTATGGTTCAAAGAAAGAGATGCGCGTGAGTCGTGACTGTGCACATATGTAGCTCACAAGCAGCACTGGTTGAAATGCTTATCGACAAGCTATCGATATCCATCGTGTCTGTGCTGATTAAGTGTTGCAAAACGTTGCGCTCCATATGATAAGCGGCAACGTATGCTACAGTTTAAGTTGGTGCGCGAATTTAAATAATTTAAAATTGTTGCTTGGTAATTCAAAAGTAGCTAAGAATTTAATTATATTTATTTTTGTTTGCTTTTAGTGATTTGCGAGAAAATGAATAGTGCTTTTTTATAATTACGATTTATTTCAAAAATGAAACGGTTGTTTTTATCCATATAATTTAAAAAATGCCGTTTCTTGATTATACATTTTTAGACATTACACTACATTTATTTATATTTGCTTAGGTAACAGTTTGCCAACCTGTATAAGTAGTAACTTAGTTGTTAAATATAACATGCAATAATAGTGATTAAATACAATTAACAATTATTTTAATAATTAAATTAAATCAAATATTTGCATTTACATGCTCAGCAAACGATGCCGTAAGATTGTGACCAATTTTGTTATATCTTTAATAGTTCATTGAAACTATTGCGAGTTACACAATATTTGGAGTTCTTGTGCTAATTTTAGAAAAACAGAACTGAAGGCGAAACATACAAGTATTTAAGGATGAAGTGCTCGCACGCCACGAGTCATGTCTGGGTTTTAGCGCGACGTGTTTGAGGAGGTGTGTGTATGTGTGTGTGTGGAGTCTCATTTTCCCAGCGGGGTAATTCAAATGTTGACGCACGTGACTCCATTTTGTGTATGTTGTTCTTTTTTACGGCTCTTGTCCGTCCGGGCGCCCGCCTGTCTGCTGATGCCATTTTTTTGTAGTTTTTGCGTGTCGCGTCAGTCGTGCTTTTATTTCGCCTTTGATTTTCTCTTTTTACTGAAATAAAGCGAGACCATTTGCTATTATAAAATTAAATCTAATTTCATGTGCAAATGTTTTGGTCTGCAGTCGCGTTTCACCATCATGTCCTGCACTATTTTGCGCGTCCTTTGCGCTTTTGAATTAACAGTTAGCGGATGGAGAAAGAAATGAAAGAAAAAATGCGCACGTGGGCGCTCCTTTTTTCTGCGGTTTCATTTTCAACCAAAGTTGCATTGTTTTTTGTTTGTTGTTGTTGGTGTTGTGCGAAGGACAAAACCTTTCGTGGTTATAGCGCTGGATATTGGCCAACGTGTTATAAGCTGCTCGTCGCTTGTGGGCTTCTTCTACGCTGATTGGCACTTGTAATTAAACTGTTGGCTTTTACTTGCACTTAATATCATTTCATTGGTTTTCAGCTGTTAAGCTGATGAGCTCGCGCGGCTCTTAGGTAACAGCTGCGCTTGTTTAAAATAAATTAAAATGCTTCACAATTGCTACTTAAGTAATTGATCTGAACTGGGAAAAGATCTACTTTATAACTAATGGCACGTAATTATGATTTAGATAATTAAGCAGGTTGTTGGTAAGAAATGCTATATTTAAGTTGAGTTAATTTAGAAAAAAGCCGCTAAAATACAACAAATGGCAATCGCACTGTTTTGAAGACACAGCTGCTTTCATAGATCATGGAAAGTTTGCTTGGATATTATGGATATATTTTTACAAAACACCAATATTTATTGTAAACAGAAATTAATGCTCTTAAAACTGTGGATTATTTTCTAAAGCTTAAAGATGACAGTTTTTGGAGCATTTGCAGCATTTTTTTTTCTACATTTGAGAACGGTTTTGGGGCACTTTATTAAAATTAATAATTAATTTAATATCTGATTCAGGAATACATTCTTTCAACTCAGCGAACTCAACAGGAGACGGATTACGAATTTTTAAAATTTTTCAATTTTTCTTACTTAGAAATACACTGTAATTTCGAAACAAATTAAAAACCATAAATTGATCAATTAATTTAAAAATATATTTTCATATAATAGCGTGCAAAATAAATTGCTTTAAAATATTGATTGAATTCTAGTATTTCGAAAACACAGTTAAATCAAAAGCTATCGTTGGCTAAGTTCAGGAATCGGTCTAATAATTCATTTCTCCTTTTAATTAAACGAATTTAAGATTGGAATATAAACTCACTATTTTAACTAAATACGAGTATGTATATCAACAAAAACATTTATGGGTATTATAGACATTCCTAAAAACAATGGAAATTATATGGAAATATTTTTAGATTGAATTCGAGTCAATAAATATTATTATCAATTGGTTTGATTCGTTTCATAGATAATTGTAGCTTCTGGATATTGATTTACTAGAATACTTACTCGTATGCATTTAAATCAATTTTAGAGAGACTTTGTCTAAAAGCTGCTAAGCTGAGATGTTGTTGTGAAAAACGATTGCTTTAAGAATTTATATAATACAGTGCCTTCTTAAAAGTGCTCCCCCTTCTCTGTAAATTGTGCTTTTATACTCTTTGTATTTATTTTAGTTTTTAACATGCATTTTTACAATAAGAACTTTAATTGAAGAATCATTTCGAAAAGTATGCGGTTTTTAATTTAAATTGTGTTGCATTTCTGCTTAATTCTTATTTCTTATTTAAATGTTTCAAAACGACGATAATGGTGAACAGCAAATGGCAGCTGTTTAGGAATAGTTTAGGGAAAGCCTAAATAAGTCGAGCTGCTACGTCCTTTATGCCCAACCTTTAACTAGCAATTCGAGGAAAAATTGACAGAAACTAAAGGTTCAGTTGAGACCTCAAAGAAAAGAAACATTTTATATGAAGGAGCAATAGTTTTATTTGGTGTTTCTATATATTTTTCCTA